CTAGGGATCGGCAAAAAGAACCGGGTACCGAACCGGTACTCGGTACCAGTCGGTCATCCCGGTCCCGGTACCATCGTAAGAACCGACCAGGAACCGATAGTCGGTTCCATGTTGGTACCGAGGTACCGGGTAAGTATGCTTAGCATGTATCAAGTGACATCATATATGACTATGTCTACAAGCATCATCATTGCACCACCTTTTGTATGCTTCAATATTCGTTTATCTTATACAACGCATATGGCATATATATAACAGCACATAAACACTGAAGTATCATCTTTTGAATAACGTGAATCTAACAGAGATTTCTTCTTTACTTCCTTATCGTATTGTATACCAAGTATATAGGTGGACATTATAACATTTATTAACCCATTACGGGCACCACAAACAGGAAAAGAAATGACATCTATATAAGCTCTATGAAAGGGAAAAGGAAAAGAGGAAAAAAAAAAACGAAAGGAAGGAAAGAAAAAGGAGATCTATGAATGAATGTTCAAATCGAACCAATAGCCAAGCAGCATGAGTTGCTTGATCATGCCTGGGGAAAGTCGATTGCGAACATGGGGGAGGAGCAGGCGTGTTGACGAGAAACATCTTTCGGAAGGAGTCGAGGTAGCAGGCACTGCCAAATATTGAGCTGCCATAGTGGCAAGGTTTGGCCAATGTGCCTGGTTCACCTCCCAAAAAACAAGCTCATCGGATTTCCTAGGAGCCACCAAAGGAGCTATCGTTGGCTGGTCGACATACTCCGAAAGCTCGTCTTTTGTAAGCTCCGTCAAAAAGAGCTCATGGAGTTGTTGGGCTCTTTCGGTCACTTCTTCATCCATCGCCACCACACCAGAAAACTTGCGCCATGCCTCACGTACCAGATCTTCACTGAATTTGCACCCTTCCTTTTCCCAGCCATGACGGCGCCACCACCTGAACTTGAGACGTGGGTCAAGTGCAGTCGCCACAGCGTAAACCTCAGTCATGTCGGTACGACTGTAGTAGCGTACCAACTTGTCAAGGCCGCAACGAATGGCATGACAAAGTTCGGGATCGGTGGCTATCATACGTTCTTCAAGTTTCTCGAGAGCATCCATGATACGGTTGTAGCACAATATGGTCATGTTCACAGACGCATGCGACTTGCTTGATGACAGCGTCTGTGTGGCGTCCTCGAAAGGCTTCAACACCTCAATGATACCCTGAATCTTGGTCCAGTCTGATGCTGACAAGGCAAATTCTTCAAGCTCGGAACCAGGTGCAGTCATGGCAACGTATGCCTCCTTGAGCTTGACAGCACGATTCAACATATCGTATGTTGAATTCCAACGTGTACGAACATCGAGTGTCAAGGCCAAAGGTGGACAATCCATTGCGTCACGTCTCCTCTCAAAGGCAGCGATACGTTGAGGCGAGGATCTATGCATAAAAAATAAGTATCATTACCGATGTCAACTATACGAATACAACATCTTACCTAATCTTTAGGATCCCTTTTCGTAGCTTGGCGAGTGGAGTGGCAGGCTCATCTGAAATGTCATGTTCGATCACGTTATCGGGTGCTTGGGCCTTTAAGCCATTCTTGAGGATCGCCTGCACAGCGAGATTAAAGATGTGGCCGACGCATGGGATATGATGGCGCAAACGAAAGGGCCTATACAAAGTAAACGTACGTTAACTCTTGATCACCTTGAAAAAGACATTCACTTACCACTGTTTGGACTCTTGCTTGCCATATTCCATCACATGACGCACCATCGTTGTCATGTTGGCGGCGTTGTCGGTGGTAACGGTTGTTGTATTCAGGCTATCCATCATACCCAATAAAGATCCAACATGTGTGTCTTAGACTTGAACAAATGATATCTCACATTCATCGGTTGCCACTTGGCATCAGGAACACCGATACCTCACACACATCCTGAACCTCTAGCATTATTACCTACGGCCTAACAGATCTAATACCGCACCATGAATGGTGCGTCTACCGTCGTCTCATCTCAGCTAGTTTCACTCCATAGAATATAAATACGCATGTATCGAGCATATCTTAAATACATGGATTATCTTCGTATCACTGACTTATTGTCTACCTTTATTCCTTGCTTGATACAACAACGGTGAAGAGCCTTCTGCCAAGGTCAAACTCCTCAAGGACGTCGATGAATACAGCAGCCAGATTTTCACCAGTGTGTGGGCCATTGATGGGCTCAAAGCCGATGATCACCTCCTTCATGGTCCATGTATGCTGATCGATCCAGTGTGCTGTCACAGCAAGGAATGCTTGGTTGAAAGGACTTGTCCAGCCATCCAAGGTACATGACACAGCTGGTACCTTCCTCAACATCTCCTTCAATCGATTGCGAGCCATTTCATATTCCGCCTTAGTCTTAAAAAAACAGTCACTGGTAAGAATCTTATTTGCCATACTATATGACTCTTGCTTACTTTTCTCGTGCAGGTGCGTGCCGAAGGAAGTTGAACGCCTGATGCGGTAGGTGCAATTCGTGCCAATTCAAGCAGCTCTTGTAACGCAGCATTCTCACAGGTCGTGAATGGCAACTTGCTTGTCACCAAGAACTTGACAACCAGTCGTTGGAATTCTTCAGCGTTGAATGTACGAGCACGTTTCCCATGAACGAAGACATCCATTGGGCCACGCTTGTCACCACTATTGACATGAGGACCATTGCTCTTGTTGATTTGATGTTTGCCGAGATGCTTGATAAACCCAGAGGTAGACGAGTACTTGCTGGCGATAAGCTTTCCACAGTTACCAACCAAACATTGTATTGCAGGAGAACCATCTTCTTTCAATGCTCGCTTGCCATACTTGTGTACGAACACCCAAGCACTACTGTCATTGCCATTATCTTCGATATCATCACGTGCTGGTTCCTGACGCAGAGCGGACTCCTCTTGACACACGGCTGATAAAACCGAACCATCATCATCAAAATCATCCGAAGCATCAACAGTGTCGTCTGTGCACTCGGTACGATTAGACATGAAGGACGACTCTCGAGAAAGAAAACGGCTCAATGATGATGGCTATAAATTCGGTAAGTGAATATCGTGATCATTAATGCATATCATCAAAAAGTATACGTACTTCATCACTCAAAGCACCACGTGGATCTTTCGAGGAACTACCGACTTGGTATGGCATGATGATTGAAATAGCGATTATATGAACAAGAAGACAAGAAATAAAGATGAAATGCTCTCGTAATTGTGGTGATAAATGCTGCTCTTTATATCTTTGGGAGGTTGCCGAGAATGACAGCTTTATTGAATAATTACAAATCTCTTGAACGAATCGGGTGCAGTTATAGACCTTGATCCGGTGATGTACTTCTTTAAACCCGAATGTCACAATGCTTAAAAATTGCCATTGGTTCTGATCCACTAACGTTACATAATAAAGTGACTTACGACTCGATTATCTGCAAGAATAACCATTATCTACGGCCATCCATTGGATTCACAACTCCTGGTCCTTTACCCTTATCATCGGCGCCGCGACATTCGACCGATTATACCCATTAACACTCCCGATCACACTGGCAACTTGAGATCGTTGTTTACGAAGGATTCAACATAAGTATAAAAGTGGAGAACATCGCGAAAAGAACATGTTCTGCCTATGGATCACGCCTTCAATAAGGCAATCTCGTTTGTATTTCGTGCATTGCCGTGGAGCAACCATTGTAGATTGTTTGCATGCTTTCATTTTTAGACGCGTAAAACGCGAAATCACCTTATCGCGTCAATTTAAGTCGCCACTTGGGCATCTGAGACAATGACTGCTCGGTTACATTCGAATATTGTATGTATATCCAAACAAGCAAGGCTGATGGAAATGTCCTATTCTTCATTCTCTTTACATTCGTTTACGCAAACCAATACCAGTGTCAAGCTTGCATTCTGTATGAGCATGAGGCTTCCAAAAATTGACCCTTATGGTACCTGTCATATATACGGGTTACACAAACCAGGATACAACAATCAAAGTGAAACAGCCATCATTTCTCATTTGCTTCCGCTTCGTTTCTACATTTAGGTATTATACATCTACAAAGTTGCGCAGCTACCAGAATGCTGTATACAGACTCTATATACTATATTCCAGCTGCTCGACGCAATTGCCTGCTACCTATACCATCATGGACCTCCAAATTTAAAAGAGGCCCAATTGATCGCCAATAGGGCCAATCTGCCCTTCATATATACAACAGCTCAACACGCTCACTCATTTCAGCAGCACTTATTTCCGATTTCAACTCATTGCTACCGCTCATTATCGCTTTCGACACCGCTTTATCGAGCGCACATACATTTCCACTTGCACATCGCTTCCATTACTCAACGCAATCGCCTGCTATCTTTGTCATCAAGGAGCTCCCAATGCAAAAAAGGCCCAGGTGACCGCCAATGGCGACCACCCAGGCCTTATTTCAACTACAACAAGCTTGTCTCATCATTACAATACGACGGCAAGACTTTGACTCATTTGACGAATGCGAGGTCGAAAAGCATGCTCTCTCTACCAGGACAAGATCAAGGTTTTACTTTGTTTGCCCCACCTGAGGCGCCTCTACATGTAGCAGGTATCTTTGTCAATTGCCCCAATTGGTGTCCTTGGATATTGACCATGGATTCGATACCGATATCAGTGCTGCCCCATCGACAAAGACATAGCCACAACCCACTACCTTAAGCCTGTGCCATTATGATGGTATCACTCTCAGTGGAAATTTTGAAGCGGTTTCCTTCACTCATTAAGCTTGCGCTTAATCCATGCACTGCAACGCGGCCCATGACAATGATCCAACATCCAAAGATATACATTACCCTCTTTTAGCATAGTTGCATTTTTCGTCTTCTATCCATTTATATCATAGCCCGTTATCATTAATACGACAATAAAAGCTCAATATACTGAACAAGCTTACGATTCACATACGAAATCTAATCAACTTAATACTTTTTATTGACTCGGTACTCGGTACTCGGTACCTCGGTACCCGGTACTCGGTTCCAAACTCTGATTCAAAAGGTACCGACTTCGGTCCTCGGTTCTTCTTGGTACCGACCGGTACGGTACCAGCATTTTTAGGTACGGTGCCGGTTCCATTCAAGTACCGGGTACCGAGGTACCGTGCCGATCCCTAATTGCAGCCATCCTTTATTGTTTATGTTGTCTATGCAGCCAGCCTTTATTGTTGTGTCCCCTTTCAAACATGATATTTGTATTCTTTTGCCCACTTCTTCAATACATACATTGTGCCTTAAAGGATATACCTCGTTTGAGCTTGTTTTTATTGATGGAGAGGAATGTCAATTGATGATGGAAGCGTATAGGGATATGAAGTTATGGTAGGGATGCTGTTTTTTCCGCTTAAAACGCGTGTGGCTGCACAAGGGAAGATTTTTAGTTCCACTTGTTTTCTTGTATTCATTTGAAATGGACCCTGAGATCGTCGAACCCATTCGCGATTCTGCTTCTGAATCCATGTCGGTTAATGGAGACCACAACAGCAATGTCGAGATTGAGCAAGTTGAGGCTGACAGTGCGGTGAGAAAGGCAACCGAGCTTCGTGAATCATTGAGGGAAAAGGGTTATATCGAGATCGATGCCAGGAACGTCAAGGACTCGATTTACAGGCTTTATGCTTGCAATGGTGAAGTGTGGAACTATAAGAATAAGAGAGCAGGTAGATTACCAGGAATGGAAATGTCAGGCACAATGTTTATGTATAGCTTATGTAATACCGCATTAGGTGGTGGATCCGATACTGGTGACCAATCGACAGGCAAGAAGCAACGCAAGCTTTTATTCCGCACAAAGGAAAGCCATTATTACGAGTGTCACCGTGCACAGAAACAACGTATACGACCTTACAAGCCTGATGACAACACAATTGACAGGCGCAATATCGTTCGCCCATCAAAGAAGAATCTTTGCAAAGCTCGCCTTGCTGTTCGTTTCTATGAAGAGACACCAAATATCGCTTATGTGAAGAAGATCACGGATCACGACACTCACACTCGCGGTGATGCTGAAGATATTGAGCATATTATGACTACGAAAAATATGCATGATAATATCATGCATATGCTACGAAATGGTCATGGTGTCACTCGCCGTCAGATTCGCATGCAACTCAACAAGGACTGGATGACAATGCCAATGCAACATGTTGATGCTCAAGTACGTACTGAGGCAATCAGCTATATATACCGCACATGGCAAAATGAACGCACGCAAAAGGATAAGGATGACGATGTCTCGGTTGCTCGCTGGTTGGATCACTTGGAGTCGCGTGAGTACACTGTATGGAGGATCGCTAGTGGGGAAGACTCTTGTTATGCGTTTGGCCTTTGTTCGACATGGCAAAAGGATGAATTGATCCAGAGCAACAATTGGTCGATGGATGCTACGCATCATATGGGTCCCGATTCGAATGCATTGCTATACACGATTATTGTGCGTCATCAGCTGGCTGATCGTGGCATCCCGGTTGCATATTTATTCACCAATGATCGATCTGCTGATCCTGTGACGAAATGGCTACAACCGATTTCTGATATGAATGCAACACCCAAAATTATCATTATCGACTGTGATCTCGGTGAAGTCAAGGCCATTCGCGCTGTTTGGGGTGATGAATGTCGCATCCAATACTGCACATGGCATGTACAACGTGCGTGGATGAATCAGCTGGTTGATAAAGCAGTGGAATGGGGGACTGCCAAAAACAAGATGGCGCGCAAGTACCTTGAGATGCAAAAGATTCGTGAGGAGATTAAGGCGTTGATGTGGGAACAAAGCAAGGACGAGTTTTTCAAAAAATGGGATGCCTTCAAGAAAACATGGACCATTCACCAATCTGCGTTTGTTACTTATTTCGAGAATCAATGGATGGCTGAAGACAAGTATCCAAGATGGGCTAGGTGCTACCATCCAGCAGTATACACCAACATGTTGACCAACAATTACGTTGAGTCGTGGCACAATCAGCTGAAGACAGTGTATTTGCAACGCAAGTACCCACGCCGTGTAGATTTCCTTATCTATACTCTTGTGGAGGATGTCGAACTCGATATGGTCACCATCATCAAGCAACGTGCAGCACGCAATGGCGCCTTGACTAACCATCAACGTCATATGCTGCTGAAAAACAAAGAAGCAAATGACTTGGCAGACCAAATCTCTGAAATGCAGCTTAGTTGCATGGTTTCACCAAGTACTGAGGATGGAAATGTTTTTTTCGTCAAAAGCTTTCAACTTGATGGTGTCCACTATATGGTAATTGATACCCTTCCCTCGCACTTATTCAACATCTTTTTCATTCATATAAACCCTTATATAGGTGACAGTGGAATTTGACACAGCTAGAGACACAAAGGAAGTGATGTCATGCTCATGCCCAGCATACAATTTCGATTACAAGGCTTGCAAGCATATGTTCCTCCTTGCACGTTGGGATCCCACTTACAGTGTCAATGGTGACCATCGCCCACACAGAGTCACCATAAACCTTAATCCATCTTCTCCTTCTGCTTCGACATCCCAAGAACCTGTTTCCAACAATACAACGCCATCATCCACCTACCAAGACCCAACCTCATCCTCATCCACCGATGCCGCTAATACCAATGATAATGCTTCCATGCCCAATCCTCGCGATGCATTCAAGTCATTAATCAACAAGGTGAAACGCACATTTGATCAAGGGTCATTTGATGATGAAAAGCTTCTTGATATAATCAGAAAACTCGATAATGTTCATTCAGATCTGCAACAAGCATGTATCATACGACCAAATGCTAGACTACCTACGCAATCCCCCAACAAA